AATCGTTCCCGAACCCGTCAGACACACAGTAGAGATGTAATAAATATCTGACTAACCTCGTTTTCTCGACCGTACTGTAAGTTACGGATCCTCGTTTTTCCCTTCGATTTATGGCCCGACATAAATCGACAGGGAAAAAACTCGGTCCGTAACTTACAGTACAGCCTTCGAACTCGGTTAGTAAGAGGTATGTATTATCATTAATAAGTAGGATGGGCGCTTGCTTTATGGTTAGTGCGCTGAACATCCGGAGTGAGCGGCCTGGGCTCGAGCCCTGATCAAGGTCATTATGTTGTGTTCTGCCTTCTTAGACAAGACATTTGACCCTCAGAGTGATTCTCTCCACCTAGGATTAAAAATGGGTGTCAGCGACGTTACTGTAGCTAAATGACCCGATAGGTCACTAAGCTTGAACGCAAACTTCACCCAGTTTGCCTATAGTAAGGAGTCAATTGTTGATGGAGCTGATTTCACTGAATTACCTGTATTAGAACTAAATCGAGTCAGTCAATGGCCAGTCACAACAAACGTAAACAGCCAAATGAATCAATGAGTACTTGAGGCAAAAACACGTAAACGATAATATGCGCGGGAAAAGGCGTGTGATCAAGTCGCGATTTCTTTTGAATTTGCATCTGATTGGCTTAGCTGGTGGCGCCATGTTTTCAAACAAAACACAGTACGAAGACATCAGTGATCATCGCAGTTATGAACACAACCTAAGCAGCGGTGAAATTAAAGCCTGAAAAAAATGAAATTAACGCCTGAAAATCACTGATGTCTTCATACCTTTCTCCGCAGTTCAAATATATGATCTTTCATATATTCATTAGCAAAACACAGTAAGTGGTAAAGCAAAACTAAAGCAATTCTTGATTGCTTTAGGTAGATGAAGTCATTTTTAACATTGTTCAACTGAATTGCCTTCAAAACGAAGGAAAGTACAAAAAATGATTTGAACCAATGTAGAAAACGAAAGTAACACATTACTTGCAAAAGATTTCGGAACATTTTAATTTCGGCCAAAAAAAAAGTGTCCGAAAAAAAAGTGTCTAGTTGAGACACTACTTGACATACGTAACGGCTTGATAGAATTTGAGTCATTTTCTCGTCGGTGTATTCATAGAACCTTGAGGCTGCAGTAAAACTTTCATTTCCAGAAGTTGTTTAAGTTTAAGTCGTGTTTTGCAGGCGTTAATTCGCATTAGATTTGTTTCAGGAAAATGTCCGAAATTTTTGTCCGAAATTTGTCCGAAGTAAGACAAAAGGTGTCCCGGCCGGAAACGCCCGAAATTTTTGCGTCCGATCATTTTTGCAAGTAATGTAAGCTAAACTGGAACATAGATTATGGATGACCATACGGATTCTAACTTGGTTTGTTGTTATTTGTTTATTGTCCCTTTACTTTGGTAAATCATTATTTGAACTTTCTTTTATTAGTTCTGAAAGCCTGAAAGCGATGAACTTGAAACAGTTAACTTGGACTAAAATCGTTAACGTGCCCAGTTCTTGTTCGGCTCCTAATATAATCTTTGTAAGCAAACTGCATGAAACACAATAAAATGATGCTGAAACTACCTTTGTTCCCACTGTGCCGTAACACTCGACTCCCTTTAGTTTTTGTTTTTTTAGTGACGG